GCCCCCACCCCCCGTGGCCCCCACCCCCCGTGGCCCCCACCCCCCGTGGCCCCCACGTCACGCACCGCCCTGGCTGTGGTTGAAGTAGCCGCGCAGGGTGTTCAGGTACTCTAGGAAACTCTGCGTTTCCCCCTCCATGTTCCGCACCTCCCGCTCCCAGTAGCCCGGCTCCTCCCAGTCCATCCGCTCCATCCACGCCGCCCGGGGCTCCATCCTCGGACTCGCGCGGGCGCTGTCGAAGCGCACGAACTGCTGGTCGTCCACGCAGCCCACGACGAGGAACCGCGGCTCCGGGAGCTCGGGCGAGGCCACGGCGGTGTAGAAATACCTCAGGGAGTGAGAGCCTGGACGTGGGGACCCGGGCCGGGGGCGGGGGTCAGGGGGTGACCGCGTAGACACGGCCCCGGCGGCCTCGGGTCTGCGCCCCCTGACCCTGACCCACCCGGGGTGTGACTTCCGACCCCGCGTCTCCCCAAGATGTGACCCCGGACCCCTAACCCCCCCGGTATCCGGCCCCTCCGCCCCCAACACTGATGGCTCACCGCGCCGGGAGGTAATGATTCTCGAGGCTACAGCGCTTTGAGATCAGCAAAACTCCTTCCCTGACAACCCAGGCAGGTCCTACTGCTCCCCCATCCCGACCTTGCCCCCCTCCCCGCCCCCACCTCTGGTCCGGCTCCCGGGTCTCTCGCACTTCTCACCCCCCGCCCCCCACGATCCTCCGTGAAGCTCTTTAACGAAGCTGCTCCTGGTTCTGTGTCCTCGCCCTTGGATGTGGGGGGGGGGGGGGCTCCCGGACGGCTCTGCTCCTTCTTAACGCCCCCAGGACTGTCGCACCCATTCTCCCTCCCGGCAGACCTGCCTCAGCGCCCCTCGTCCTCACCCGCACCCACCAATCCACTCACCCCCCCATCTCTGTCTCTGTCTCTGTCTCTCTCTCTGTCTCTGTCTCTGTCTCTCTCTCTGTCTCTCTCTGTCTCTCTCTCTGTCTCTCTCTGTCTCTCTCTCTGTCTCTCTCTCTGTCTCTGTCTCTGTCTCTCTCTCTCTGTCTCTCTGTCTCTGTCTCTCTCTCTGTCTCTCTCTGTCTCTGTCTCTGTCTCTCTCTCTGTCTCTGTCTCTGTCTCTCTCTCTCTCTCTCTCTCTCTCTCTCTCTCTGTCTCGGCTGCTTCCTTTCAGCACCACCCTGACTTCACCTGACATTAAGGAGTCGCTTCCCGGGAAGCCCACCCTGGGCTGGTGCCGGAGGAGCTTTCTGTAGGGAACCCCCATCCCACCCACACGTCCACCCCCCAATGCTCTGTCCAGCCTCCAGGCGGCCGCTTAGGTCTGTTCTCTACTTGCCTGCCCAGGTCTCCGGCAGGGCCAGGGTCCCCAACAAAATGAGAGAGCGCAGACAAGACTCCATGGTCCGGGCAGAGAAGCCCAGGATCGCAGAGAAGCCCAGGATCACCGAGACCAAACTGCGCGGGGTTTGCAGAGGGGCGAATCCCTAACTTGTGGTTGGCTTCACGGAGGCTCTGCCGGCCAATAGCAAACGAAAGACTAAAAACGTCATTGGTGACTGGGCAGAATGAGCCCTCACAGACAGGAGACCCAAGGGGCAGCTAGGTGGCGCAGTGGATAGAGCACAGGCCCTGGATTCAGGAGGACCTGAGTTCAAATGCGGTCTCAGACGAAGAATACTAGCTGTGTGACATACTAGCTGTGTGACCCTGGGCAAGTCACTTAACCCCATTGCCTAGCCAAAAACAACAACAATAAAAAAAAATGAGGAGACCCAAACTGAAACTGACTCGGAGGAAATCCCCAGCTTTACAGACCTTGTCTCTTTCTGTGTCCTTCCCAGAACAGCCTTTGAATCTCTGGAGTGCCCGAGTCTCCCTCCCTCCATCACCACTCCAGGAACCCGAGGGTCTTGCGCTCCCAGCTTGAACCAGAGAAAAAGAAGGTCCCAGCCCTTAACCCTCCTCTGCTGGCCTTCCAACCCCAGCCCCCCTCCTCAGTGCGACCCTTTCCCCTTCTAAGAAGTGAGGAAGACAATGTCCCTACCCAAAATTGGGGGCGTCTGAGGAGTGAAGAAATCTGCAGACTGATTAGGGGAGGGGTGTGTTGCCACCTCCGTTTTACTGACCTCCATCCCAGCTGTGCCTCAGGCAAGTCTTGTAACCTTCCCAGGCTGTGTAGACAAGCAAGGGATCCAAGAGTAAGGGCTGAGTTGGAGTCCAATAAATGTAATTTGGAATCAGAGTAGGAGACTTTCTGTCATGGTAAAAGGGGCAGTTGGGTCCCCAGTGGTTAGAGCTCAAGGCCGAGAATCAGGAAGACCTTAGTTGTAATCCAGGCCTCAGACATTTACTAGCTGTGTGACCCTGGGCAAGTCATTTAACCCTGTTTGCCTCAATGTCCTCATCTGAAAAATGAGCTGGAGAAGGAAATGTCAAACCACTCCAATTTCTTTGATAAGAAATCCCCAAATGAGGTCACAAAGAGTCAGACCCAACTCAATAACAATAAAAGGAAAGAGCTTAATAAAATGGGAAGGAGTACTATTTCAGCCCAAGGTGGGTTCTGAACTGCCTGAAATAGGAAGATGTGAATCCCCAGTGACCTTTTTTGTTTTCAGAAACAAAGAACCTGGGCACATATAGTGGGATTTTCCCTCTTTCTTGTCTCATCTCCCCATCTAGGAAACTATTACACTACAAATTTTAAAGAGAATATAAAGTTACCCTTGGAAAGGATCTTAGAGATAATCTCCTTCATTTTACGGAGCAGGAAACTGAAGGCCAATGAGGTTGTGAGATTTTTCCAAGGTTGTAAAGATAGGAAGTAGCAAAATGGAGATTTGCACCTCCATTCTATCATTGCAAACTCAGTCCTCTTTCCCCAAGCCCAGGCTGATCTAGAGACAGTCCTGAATGAGCCTCCTCTGGTGAAGGGCATCTGAACCCTTCAAAGCATGTTGGAGTCAGCACTATGTGGAAAGGCAAAGAAAAAGTTCAATAATTCCGTTTTTTATCATTTTCTGCTACCAGACCCTTCAGACCAAGTCCTCTCCCATCTTTCTTCTTTTGATCCCAATGGAGCTTTAAAAAATTCCTCCTAAAACTCCCCAACCCTTGTCATTTTCCACTGTGCTTCCCTTCTCCACAGCACAGCTGTCTGGTGCACCAGTTTTATAAGGAAAATGTAGACAAGTCCTGAGATTTTTCCATCCTTTCAGTGACATCTCCTCTGTGAAAGACTAGGATGCAGCCTCGTGAGCCCTCCTCTCTCTCTCTCTCAGTTGCTAACACTGTCTTCTCTCAGAATCTTCAGAGTTTTCTCCATTCCCTGCACCCCACAGTCCTTTAACGAGTAGTTCTGCAAGACCCTGCCTTGATCAGGCCCCATCTGGAAAATTATGTTCAGTCTGGGGCATTACATTTTAGAAAAGGTGTAGACAGCATGTCCAGAGGAATGTGTCCAGAAGACAAGGACCAGAATGGGGAGAGGACCAGAGAACTTGCTTTGGAGGATTGGGTAAAGGATTTAGGGGTGTTGTTTCCCTAGGAGAAGAGAAGATACTGAGGGGAGAAGATGGTTGTCTTCAAGTATTTGAAGGATGGTTTAGGTGAATCCAAGAGGGCACAAGTAGGACCTGAGTGAATATTGCAGAGAGGCTGATTTCACCTAGGGATTAGGTCTGTCTAGAAGTGCAACGACACGCTCGCCTGGAAGTCATCATGTTCTTTGAAGGTCCTCAGGCAGAGACTCAGTGATGACATGGGTAAGATGTGGAAGGGATTGTTGTTCAGTTGGGAGCTGGAGTGGATACCTAGGGTAGCTGGGAGCTCTTAGTCTCTGCTTCTGAGTTATCAGTCCTAACCATCAGCATCCATGCCTGCGAGTGAAAAGGTCATTTTCTCTCCCCAGTCATTGAAATAGGAGAGGGAGAGAGAAGGAGAAAATACCTAGGACCAAAAGCATACATATTCCTCTTGCTAAATATGAGTTTTAACATAGTGTTAAGTCTGCAGGTTTCTGGGTACAGTGGGTGTGGATTTCAGTGACCTTAGCTATGTTAACTGTAGGGATGCAGGGAGCCATTCTAGGCACTGTAGGTCCAGGGCCCTAGAGATGGCGCTGCCCAAAAGAAAGCGCTAAGAAGCAGAGTCCAGCAGGTGCTGAGAGAGAGAGGGAAGGGGGGAGACAAAAAGGAGGGAGGAAGGGAGGGAGACAGACACAGAGACGAGGGAGGGGGAAAGAGAGAGTTAGGCAGAGTCAGGGAGAGAGATGGAGGAGAGAGAGATATGGAGATGGGGAGAGAGGGAGAGGGAGAGTCAAAGCCTTCTGACATGGAGTGAAACAGCTGGAAAACAGCTACCTAAGGAAAGAAGCCCGGGATAGTCGTGGATTTGGCTCTAAGGAAAAGGACGGCCGGGACAGAGTCAAAAGCGAACCTAGAAGAGGCAGTTGAGGATTAGCAGGAAAGGCTGCTCTCTGGCGCCATCTACAGGGTTTAGAGGAGGGAAGGACCAGGCTAACGAGTAAAGAATTCTAGACTGTCCAGAAAAGAAAACGACCAATGTTGAGAGGCTGCAGGCAGACAGGCCCCTTGGTGCCCTTTGGGTGAGGCTCTGAATTGGCCCAGTCATCCTGGAAAGCAGTTTGGGACTGTGCCTCCAAAGTGGTTCTATTATGTGTGATGCCCTTTTATCCAGCAGGACCATGTCTAGCTCTCAACTCCAAAGGGAGCAAAGAAAGAGGAAAAAGTTTCACAGATCTCTCTCTCTCTCTCTCCCTCTCTCTCTCTCTCTCTCTCTCTCTCTCTCTCTCTCTCTCTCTCTCTCTCTCTCTCTCTCTCTCTCTCTCTCTCTCTCTCTCTCTCTCCATATCATATATTTTAATTATAACATCTTTTTTGTAATGACAAAGACCTGGACAGTAAAGCAATATGCACCTGCTTCAGACTGGCTACACATATTTTGATGTGAACGATGATGAAAGAGATGGTTTCAGAGAAACCAGGGAAGCTTTGTATGAATCGTTGCAGACTGAAATAAGCAAAACCAGGAGAACAATTTGTACAAGAAGAACGGTGTCAAAATAAACACTTTTAAAGACCTTACGAATTGTGATAAATAACAATGACCAACCCTGATTCCAGAGGACCAACGATGGAGAATGCTACCCACCTCAGACGACTGACTAAATCTTCAGAACGAGACCCATCTTTGGACATCTCCAATATGGGAAATTGTTTTTGCTTGACTTGCGTCTATTTATATCAAGGGCTTTGATTTTCTTTTTTATTCAGAGGAGGGATGAGTGAGGGGAGGTGGGAGGAAGAAAAAACAAAGTCTTCATAATTTAAATAAGTTTTATTTTTAAATTTTATTTAAAAGATAATTGAAATATAATTTAATTTTTAAAAGACAAAGTCTATCACCAATTAAGAAAGGGGTTCCCAGAACAAGGGTTCCAGAATCTACGAGAGACTCTGGGAGGCCTGATGTGGCTGACTAGGATATATTATTGGCAGAGCTTTCTGCGAAAAAGAGACAGAGAGAGCTCAAGAGCACTGAAGACCTCCATCTTGAGAGAGAAAAACACATGGTATGCCCTACAGTCAAGGACAGAAATAACTAATGAAGGAGAAAGGATGGCTGTATTACCTGGGCACTTTTACCCCTGGCTCTCCACCCTAGGCCACCAGTGAGCATTTCACTCACTCCTCTGCATATGAGAGCCAAAAGCAACCTGGTGGCATTTTTCTTTACCTGGGAAGCTCTCAGTCCTTCCCAGTGAAAAGAATTGGGAGGACATTATCCAACAGAAACAATTCAGACTTGTAAACAGTTGACTTTGCTGGCAGGGGGAAGTCCATTGGGGCTAACTATTTGACTTGCTTAGGGTCACACAGCTAATAAGTGCCAAGTGTCTGAGGCTGGATTTGAGCTTAGGTCCTCCTGACTCAGGGCAGGTGCTCTATCCATTGCACCACCTAGCTGCCCCAAACAGCTTACTTTTAAGTAATCTTGAAGGACCCACACCAATTCTTAGATGCTTTGCTCCCTGATCTGTCCTCATAACCTATCACTTTTGTCTGCCTCATATTTCTTTGGATCTTTAGCCATTTTTCCCTGATATTCTGCTTTCCCCATTCCTCCTGCCAGCATGCCCTCCAGTAAAATCACTCTCCTTGTCATCAGTCACACCTGTGTTTCTATTTTCAATTAATTTTTCTACATTAGATTCTAAATGACTCAGTTTCCTCATTTCCAGAGATTTTTCAGCTGTTCCTAGGACTCAATTACTATCGAATTAAAAAAATTCATCACAGAATCAGAGTTGGAAGGCACCTAAATAGTCTCCTGAATTTAGTCCTACCTGACCCCCCCCCCACAGCCTTTTAATGATTCTCTTCTTTTTTGCCTAATTTTATTTCTCTCATAAGTTGTATCTTGGGAAATATCCAGCTTTTTTTGGTTGCTGCCACTGCTTTTCAGGTTCATTTTTTCTCCTTGTTCTGGGTGCCTCAGTTCTTCCTCTTCCTCCTCCTCCTCCTCCTCCTGCTGCTGCTGCTGCTGCTGCTGCTGCCAACTGAACTCCTTTCAGCTTTGGCTTTCCTAGTAGCTGCTACTCCAGACCTGGGCCAGCAAGCCTTGCATCCCAGC